AGGTCGTCATGAACGAAATCTATAATCGATATGAAGTTAAAATTGACCTCCAAATATTTTTGCTGGCGGTCAATTGAGTCAGCATAAATAAATTTACGTAAATATATGTGACAATATGCACACAACAAATAATACTTTGCTTTTGGAAGTAGAGAAAGCTGTATGATATCACCTCTATCGCTACGAAACTTACTTTTGGATATGGCGCCATCCGTTTTATTTGCTGCACAGCTGATAGCAAACGATAGCAACTGTTGAATAAACAGGTAATATAATTACTATGAGCAAAGAGTATGTTTTTCTATGAATCTTTGAAAACTACAAGAAAATAGTTTCCGGCCATCAATAGTAAATTTTATGCAACTACAATAAATTTAGGCCACCTACTTTTCTAGATACCTAAAGATTGATATAACAAGTATTTTATAAGACTTCAAGCTCTATGTCCTTCAAATATCTTTAGCTACCAGACAATCGATAAGACTCTGCGAAGCCGCTAGAGTTATGTAGTAGTATCAATCATAAGAAATCGAGATATTTTTTGGAGCGTGATAGAGTACTGTGTAACTAAGAAAGAAAATAGGCTATGTAGCTATCTACTGTTACTGGGACAAATAATAAAAAATTATCTCCACGATGTCTTTCTAACGAGCTAGAACTGCTTAAAAATAAAAATTCCTTTCTCAGCAGGAGATATTCAATATTGTAACATACTTATTCGAAGTTATAGTTCGTTCTAATACAATCGAGATGGATGTGATCCTTCCGGAAAGAATGTCTGAACGTCAATGCGGATTAAAACTATCTTAATTTTATAAGTTTGATTTTTAAAATTAATTGTAATCATTTCCTTCGCAAAGAATGTTTAATTATTCGAAACACAGCCGCAGGAAGTAAAAGGAGTGACCTCTAACAAATTTAGCTATCGTCTTTTCACAATACTGTAATTTACTCAACAATGTAGGTCTCTTAAGATTTTCAATTTCAATAATTGTAGTGCTGAAGTACAGATAGTCTGTTGAGAACTTAGGCAAATAAACGGAGGATATAGTATAGATTACGGTTGATCTTGAATCAAGTAACCTACTAGCTGATAAACTACAAAAATATAAGACAGCCTTGAAACTCGCAAAATCACTACATAATCGCACTACTGAGTTAAGAAAGTTATGCTAAGTAATACAGAAGGAATAAGCTTATAAAATATGAGCATATTAAAATCACCACATTTTACTTACCATAAGAAATAGAACTTTAGCTACGAGCCACATCCTGGAATAGTGTACTTTGCCGTCAGTTCTTTAAAGTACGATTAAAGGCTTTCGTTATTATTCTATAAATCTTATGGCGAAATATTGCAGAGTTTTAATTGGTAAATTTAGATAGTCTTACTGAATAACTGTTACGCTGAACATATTTGTCTCAGTAAGTCTATAAGAATTAGTCTACAATCTTTTATTGTTGCATCCCTATTTAATGTGAATATATTGGGAAAATTCTATATTCATGAGAAAAAGTATACAAACATGAATTAATAATACTTTGGAAAACATTTTCTTATACTGTAAAACGTGAGCTCATTCATTGTATTGATACTTCTTAATTTCTTATTTGCATCTCATTAATATTGTTAGATAGGTATGGGCGTTGCGATCGTTTTTGTTTAGGAACAAACATGTTTATCCAGTGATAGAGAGTTTCCGATATTAAACTGGGATTCAATTTTGGGTAACTTATTTATAAACTTAGTAATAAGCACAGAATGCGATATGTCAGGCTGAAAAGACACAAAACAGCAATCAATTACCCACCTAAAGAGGTTCAACTAGCATAGTATATATTGAGATTATACTAAGGATATTTTAATTGCTAATGCTTTATATGGGAATATTTCCGTAAATTTCGGTACTTCCTTGTACTAATATTGAGGCTGTAATAAAAGTGTCTCACAATAACTGTCTTAGTCAAATGGTATTTTCCAAAAGGCTTTTATTACAAGGTTTTTAAGAATAGTAGAGCAATAATAAATGACTATAACAATCCAGTCTAAAATCTAAAGTATTCTGAGCTCAAAGCGAAGTAAATTCTCTTCTCTCTATGAGAGCTTATCTCCGCAGTTCTTAAAATACATTTCACTAAATCCATTTATGACAAATTAACTAATCTACAATCAGACTCGAGTCCTCAAATAGAATACTTTTTCTCAAATAGGACATCATTATCTTTTGCCGTCTGAAC